AGAGTCACGCAGAGACAGATGTGCTGTAAACATGCACTGCACCGAGCTAAAGAAAAGGTACATGAAAAAATAAACTCAGTCCTGGCTTTTATATACTCTGCTCTAGCTGATCTGCTCAGTTAATGCAGATGATCTTTTCATTCCAAACACGTCTCTCGGATGCCCCGTTGTCCCACCAGTGGTAGGCTGACAGATACTTCCCATTTATCAGTAGTTTAATTTGTGTTTATATATCAATAAATCCTTCAGACACATGGTGATTAATGACATTTTTTTGCTCTTTCCTGGCTTTCCAAAGAGTAAAACCCAAGAAACTGCCTCTCTTGCTACTGTCTGTCAACTTCAGTCACTTTTGTGGATATCTGGAAAGGAAAAAGGAAAGATGGTTTTATGTGCTTATGGAAATTTGCATGGAGAAGCCACATGGACAAACTGATGTTAAATATGTCCCCTAGTTTCTTCAGTTCAACCCACTGGGAACACAAACAACTCCATGCTCAACAGAAGTCCGGTGTGTATGTGAAGGCACCTTACTGCATTATAATACTCGAGACTTTGGGTATCCTCCAGTTTCTCCCCACTTCTTTTAGTCTCATCTCACATCCTGAGTGTCCAGCCAAAGATGATCTGCTGAGTGCTGACTCTCAGAGAAGAGAGGTCGGCCAGATTTTTGCAGAAAATGGATCCACTCTGTTGATTTTATCCGGTGGGATTATCGAATCACATCCAACAGACTTAATCACATGATGCAACTTCAAAAATGATGGATATGGAATGAGAAAATACAGGCAATAAATAATTTCCAAACAACTTTTAAACATGTTGTCAGGGTTGTAAAGCTTTTCACTTTTAGCTTCAAAGCCTGTAAAATTATTCCTAAAGCGATGCAGTTATTGTTAATTTGATGAATAAGGCCCTTAGGTCTACAGTTTGTTCTTCTGTGAGCTGCATGTGGCAGTGAGAAAAGTATTTAATTTTTAAACAGAAAAGTCAGTGATCTCCATGAGTATTTGTCAAGCTTGGATCAATCCCACACAAACCCAAATGACCCCAGTCTTGTGGTGATTTATCCTACTTTGCTGCCAAAACCATGTCCGCAAGCCTTTAGGCTCACTGGTGCAAGTGACTGTTACATAACTGAGAGGAATTAACCAGACACAGTCACGCTCTCTTGCTAAAATAATCTTTTTTCTCTTTTCCTCTCTTTCACGTGTAGAAATGCTAATGCTGAGATGAAATACTAACAGAGGCCAAAGAATCCAAGACATACAGAGCTCATAAAATGTACTGTATACACCAATACTCACCTATACTCAAGCTTGTGAGGATGCTTTTCTGTCTGCCTGGTATGGTCAGCAGCTGTAATGAATCAGTCAGGCTCAGATGCCCACAATACTGCACTGCCTCAGACCCACTGAAACGTCTGGTTCCTGGCTCTGGTTCCGTGGTGGAGACCTCCCTCTTGCCAAAACACTCAGACTCAGGCTCAGATCCAAACGGGTGCCCGGAATTTAACTCTTGTCACCCTCTCTGAAAGGAACAATGGACAAGGCCTGGAAAGTTTTACCTCCTAATGTTGACATTTCACTTTTTTTCTAATGACTCCAGTCCAAATGGGGCAACGGTAGCTTGCACGGGGCAAACAGCAGAGGCAAGTCGCATCAGGGAACAATATGAGACAGCTTGGCAAGACAGAGAAGAGGACTGGTGGAGCCTAGAAATGTGATGACAACGCTGTGAGGGATGAGGAGGCAGCAACTGAAAATGGTGACCTCCATACAGGAAGGAATCAAATCAAATCAAATTTTATTTGTATAGCGCCAAATCACAACAAAAGTAATCTCAGGACACTTTACAAAGTAAGGTCTAGACCTTACTGTTATCAATATTATTACATAGGGAAAACCCAACAAATCCCCCTTGAGCAAGCACTTGGCGACAGTGGGGAGGAAAAACTCCCTTTAACGGAAGAAACCTCCGACAGACCCCGGCTCTTGGAATCATATGACAAGTGCAGATGTGAAATCTGTGAGCAGTGGTTCATAACCACTTTTGTCTGATGTATCCCTACACAACCCAGTCAGATGAACTCAAGCACTGAGTTCTACTTTTGATCATTTACCAACTAAAACAGTTTTCAACATGCACTGTTTGGATAGTGTGAACAGTTTGAACACTGAATAATGGGCCTGTCTTTTTTACTTGTCAAAGCAGAATCTCTTGTCTGTACGACACATGAGCAGATTCTCAAAGATTTTATCCAACGGCAGTTTTGTTTGGCACTAAAAATGTCCATGCTAACACTGAAAAGCTGCTCACATGCAGTGCGGTGAAATAAAGATAAAAAAAAATAAATCATTCCTTTCCTTTTATGAACCAAATCTGCTTGTAGTTTCAGAAGCTAAGTACACAAAAATGGCCAAAAAGTAATTTAACTTGAATCACTATGCAGATATGATTGTAGCTGAACTACCAGCAAGCTACTGCAAAATGTAATTATATTAGTTTAATTACTATACATGTACTATACATTTGCTACTCCTCAACCCTGATGAAGATACTGACTGAATCAATAAAAATGCATTCAAAATGTTACTTAATTAAAAGTATAAAATTATTAGCATCCAAACATACTTAAAGTACTAAAGGTAAAAGTACTTATTATGCAGAATGATTGTTAAATCTGACGTAGGCCATTTAAGACATCAAGAGTACTGATGTGGCAAAGGGTTGTGGGAACTTAGATGAAGTAATGACAGCTGACTTCAGACTACTTGTGGAAAGAAAAACATAAAGTTGGTTTATCAGCGCCATAAATACAAGCACACAAACATTAAGTTGTTTCATTTGGGAGACACTGCCGCCCCTTAAGTCTCTTCTATTTTTAAGATGATGGTTTAAATGTGTCCCACTCCCACTTTTGCTCTATAAAAGGGGAGTTCCAAAAAAAATTTGTTCTCTCCCCCTTAAGTTGTAAAAAAGATGGAATTTGCTAAGGATGGAAGTTCTCTAGCCTCTGGAAGGGAAGAAATAAAAATACTGGGAGAATGTCTCAGTCACTGGGTTTAACTTTTCACTGTTTCAAGTGCAATGCAAAGATCTTAAAAGTAAAATGTCCACAGACACACATCCAAGTTTGTGGTTTAATCTCCCTCACCCATGATCTTTTGACATGTTGATCAGTTTTAGATATAATTTCCAAACCTTCACTTTGTTTAGTTTAGATTTCTTCAAACACACATGCACACAAAAACCCTCACATTTTATGCACATGCTTCGACTAGAGCTCTGCTATTGGTGTGGTTTCTCATTGTGCACACAAGCATGCAGTGAGACTCGCAAGTGGTTTTGTCTCACATCCTTGTTTTCAGTGTGAGTGGTGGAAGTCTGTGGCCATCCCATGCTGAGTCAAATTACGGCCCGCACTGCCACACAGAAAGATTTTACTTTTTCTTTCATAACACATTTCAGATAATTCACATAAGACATTTCAAAGATTGCTGGGTGGCCAAGAGGGAGAAAAACACAGGAAACCTTCAAAGATAAGGTATTTTTACTTATTCAGACTTGCGGTCTATGTGTCCCTCTAGTCATTTGTTGGACTGTACTGACAAACAGATGTAGGCTATAGATGGTTGAATGAGTGGATTTTTTGTACTGTAGGGTAGCTCAACTCATTTGAAAAGAAAATAGACATTATGATTTCATTTCAAAATGAATCCCCATTGATTCAGCTGCAACACCCAAATACTATATGTTGCTATAGAGAATGCAAGAAAATGAGAAGTCTGAAGAGTTAACAAACTAATTTGAAGAACTTTAGTTAACCAAGCTAGATTTCCTCCTATGGTTGCTTTGCTGTAGTTCGACGTCTTCCAGTGTGAAGTAATTGGTCGAATGCAAAGCTATGTTTTCAAAGTAGCTTCCCCAAAACTGATCTTCATTCAATTTGCCAAAATAATACACAATGCAGTACAATGAAAATGGTACTCATTCTGCTCTCCTGACTGGAGTCTGGTCACCATGTGCTTGAACTCGGTGTCCAGTTTACCTCTCATGAAACCTCCCCCAGGAAGTGGGAGAGATCTCTGGAATGTGAGATTCCCACCGGCAAACTGGTCAGTGCCATTGCTGAGAGATGCAGAGTAGTCATGTGGATAACAGGAGATGGACCAGCTGGAAACCATTTGTATAAATACAGTAAATTAGTTTGATGTTATTTTGAAGGCCTTTATCAAATGAAACAAACTCAAAACCAACACTGCTATACCACTTTAGAATCTGCTATGAACTGTATGAATGAGGTTAATCAAAGCTCAAATATGGACCGGTGCCTTGAACACAAAACACCCATACATTTGTGATTTTGATAATGTTTTTTGCAAAAAAAAAACATGTGCATGTGCCCCATATATCATTACCAGTGGTAAACCTTGGAAAATCCTGCCCTCTTTTGGTAATATTGAAAAATGCAGACCTGATCAGAGACTAAAGTGAAATGTTTACCCACACTGATTCTCTATTCGCACAAGTTCATGAAGTTTAAGATGTCTTGTTTATATAAAGCATGGCCCTTAGATGGCATTTAATGCCCTCCAAAGTGTTGTCACACATCATTAGCTAGATTCAACAAAGCTATGGTTTCTCAGCAAGCTGTTTTTCTATGGAGACTTAAAACATTTGTATTGGACTGAAGCTAACATGGTCAAAATTTCTTTTAAATTAAAACCAATGAGAACGCTGAAGTGGAATTATCCCTTACCATATTTGACAACAAAAAACTTTTCATCTCCACTTTGTTTCTCAGTTTCTTTTAAAGAAATTCAGTGACCAGTGATAGTCTTGCCTTGATGCTGGTCACTCTGTGACAACAGTCCCTGCATTTCTCCATCACATAACTTTAGTTTTAAAAAGCATCTTAGGCTCTTGGAATATCTACTGCATAGAACAGGAACTGAAGAATCAAGCTTACACAATTGAAATTCTATAATTTTATTATAATACATCAAAAACATTCTGATTTTAGTGTGACTTGTTCTGACATAGCTCACCAGACATATACTGGTTATCTGACAACTAGTATGACAGTCATTATTTGGGTGTGATGTGAAGAGTGGCCATTTTTGTGCACTTTGAAAACAATCTGGCAGTTCAGAGCAGACCTGAGGTTAAAATGCACTTGCAAATCATTTTCAACTTTGCTTCAGCGTGTGTATGTTTCCCATATAGACAATAATACCTCCACCAAAATGTTTGTCAACTTAATCAGCTATAATGCAGATGAACATCTGGAACTTTGAACTGTCTTAATTTGGAAATATTAGCAACTACTATTTAATTCAGGTGCAGGTCAGGATGAGAACTGTCGCTGAGGATGTTTGAGGGTCAAGTTCTACTTTTTGGCAGTCTGTAGACGCTCGCTCACATTCTCCCAGTTGATGACATTCCAGATAGCCTTAACATAGTCAGGCCGCACATTTTTGTACTGAAGGTAGTAAGCATGCTCCCATACATCAATACCAAGGAGAGGGATGAGACCTGAGGGTCAGAGACATGAAAAACATAACATTATGAACTGTGTTTACATGTGGCACAAGTTGACAAAGGACAATACAAGAAGAAAATATGAATAGCATACTATGGGGAAAATGCATAATTCCATCTCTACTTCAAAAGCTGTTTTCCACTGACCTGTTGTCCCCTGCAGGGGATCCTGGTTAGCACAAGCTGCAATACGAAGTCTTCCACTCTCCTTATCATAGCCCAGCCAACCCCAGCCTGAGCCTTGCACTGCCACTGTAACAGCAGACATCTTCTCCTTCATCTTCTGGACAGACCCGAAGTCCCGCTTAATGGCCTCCATTAGTTCCCCTACAAGAAGAGTAAAGCAATTGTACTCAACAACAGCAGCAAGAGATAAGAACAAGAAGCATTTTGAGAAATGCAGCAGTTTACTGGCATATTTGGGAGAAAGCAGTCCTTACAGGTTGATGCTAGTTAAAATTACTACTTGTTAGTTTAACATCCACATTATACTATGCTGCAAGCCCTTTTCCAACATGGGATGTGTGACATTGCTGGCTTCATCAGTCTATTAAAGTGACAGCTTTCTGTCATTCAGACATGGGTCACTTTCACATTAATGTTCTTCGTGGCTTCATTTGGACATTGTCTTCAGTGAAGACAATGAGACAAGCTGCTGTGCAACATTCTGAATGTGTTTCTGCCATACCCTGTGGCTCGCCACCACCATTTGGAGAGAGGTTAGTCCAGAAGATAGTGTGGTTAATATGACCCCCTCCATTAAACTTCAGAGCAGGCTGAAGAGCAACCTGTGTTGTCACATCTCCTGCAATACAAGACAAAAAGACATCAGATTAGACAAAAATACTAATAAAGTTTACAATACTGATGTTATGACACAGATGTTTTCTTAAAAAATGTATTCTTATAGCCAACATTTAAAGTGAAACTTGATGGAGTTATTTAATTTGAATCAAACCATCTTATATTTTCATGTAGAGGAGCAAATGGATAATTAGTTCATGTTTGTACCCTTTACAAGCGCCTCCCGGTATTTCTCCTCTGTGACATTGAGGTTGTTAACATATGTGGCATGATGCTTGCTGTGGTGCAGCTGCATTATCTCTGCACTGATGTGGGGCTCCAGGGCTCCATAGTCATAGGTCAGGTCAGGGAGTGTGTGCTTCTGCCTTGATGCAGCTACCTGGCTTATAGTTTGGTGGAGGCTGGCTGCACACCTGAAAACAAAGAAGAGGGAAAACATGCCAGACAAACCATTTGCATAAATGGCTCAACAGAAGTTTGGCTTCCACGTATATGAACAGCCAAATAACTCTGATAACACTGACGTTTATGTGGTTTAATCTGCACAATAACAGCCCAATATGCTTTGCCACAGGTACCCTTATCAATAAAAAATTAAGTTAAACATAGTCAGCTTAACAAATGGCTTCAAGTGAGTTAAACTTATCCATCTGGTTTGTGGATTAAGGTGAAGCAGGTGGTTAAATTAGCTGTGTGAGCTGTTGGGGCCGAGTGAGCTATATGTTAACAAGTGTGTCTAAATATTACAACATTCAGTTCATGATTCACAGAGAACCCTGTTAATGTATAACCATGAGACAATCTAAAAAAAAAAGTGCTTTATATGATGCGCCACAAGCTAACCTTGCTGAGCTGCTAAACTAAGTTAGCTTCCTAGCTAGCTGTTAGCTCTGAATGAGCAAATATCTCAAGTTCATGCACAAACGCTGTTAGCAAGAGTCAGCTGTCCTCATTTATTTAGCATTTTGGACAGAGTAGTAACACCAAATTCTAACTTGATATCAGTTTTACCTGCGTATTTGACCAACTCTGCAAAGCATGCTCGTGATAGTAATCACAGGAATAACAACACAGATTAGAATCACTGGTAACTGCCCTTGAAATGTGCTATTTCAATTTGTCAAGCAGTTGACTGTACCATTATCGTCATGTGGGGGTGTTATCGAGAGTGTGCAGGAATTCAATTGGCCTCACCTACGACACCTGACACGACATCTCCTCTCAGTAATATTGGTAGATAATACATAAAGTCATGCGTGAGGAATACATCGTAATATATCGAAATACGACTAAACATATTAGATTATACCTTTTATTCCTCCCTCTTGTATAACATTTTCATCTCACCTTTGTCATTGGTTTTCATTGAACTTAATAAAAGAGCATCATATTATTTGAGAGCAGACGTGTTGTTGTCACTGTACTTATATGGTAATAATAATTTAAAATAATTTATAATAGGGCTGCAAGATATAATTATCAAAGCAGTAAAAAAAACATCACGTGAACGTATTCTAACATAGCGTAGCGGAGGCAATGCCAGAGATCGTCTATGATAAAGTAAGGTCTAACTAAACCATAACCTAACTAAAAACTGAAAACCACAAGACCTCAATATCTGTGATTATATTTTCAGTTTGTGGGTTCACAGATTTTTCAGTCTTAACGACTGCATGACTGACCTAAAAACTCATCTGTACTGCAGACTGTAAAATTATGTAAAAATAAGTGAATGTTATTGTGACAGCATGGTAGTTTGATTATTTCTCCATCAAAGCACCCAGAAATCAAGCAGTAGCCTACTGTAGAGCTGACATTATTTAGGCTATTTAGGCGATTATTTGATTAGACTCTTTATATAAATAAATAAAATGATAACTGTGAGTGTATTGTATAAGCAAAAAAATACTAAATGGTCACGTTGCTCAAATGTTCTATTTACTTTCCTATTCTTAAATACAATCCGGATTCTGGAAAAAGGTCCGGAGTGAGAGCTCCTTATTTTCGTCATTCCCTCTGGTCGGACTCCGCAGCTCGGCCACAGCCATTCTGCCTTGCTGTCGGCGAGGAGGACGATGCTGATAATGTTAGAGCGAGTCAACAACATTTAAATTCACAGCTAATTTAAACATAGTTATACTTTTAGATCTTATTAAACATAATTAAATTCGAGGGGTTCCAGGCACATCGAAAGAACCAAGCGTGGTAAGTGTTTTGTTGACTGGAGGCCTGATATGTGCACCCAAGAGCTTGCTCGTTTCAGGAAAAGGAGCGCAAGGGAGGGAGTCATTTCCTTCACCGCCATTTTGTGATAACAAGGAGCCGAAACAGATCCAAGAGCTGAATCCTGCCAGCCATAACGCGGAGAACATATTGTAGCTAGTTTCACAGACTCTGTATATTTAGAGCAAATGGTAAATGGCAATTTGCAGCCGAAAATTAACCTCTGTTAGCTTATTTTCCACTCCTTGGTATAAGTCGTTGCTATCTGCAATACCAGCTAACTATAGGCTCGACACCTCCTATTAGCTGATAATGTTAACATGTATTTGGTTGGCCAGATAGCTAACTAATTGGGTCGTCACATGTTAGTCGGAAACCACAGCATTTGTAGCATTTTAGCAAAGATGTCACACGTCACATTTTACTGCGTGTGCACAGACAGCCAACGCGTTGGAGCTAAAAGATGATGCAGCCGCTATAACACGACACCAAGTTGTGATTAACAATTATATTCTTATTTATTTCTAGAGTTCACAATGACCAACGAGGAGCCCTTACCCAAGAAGGTGAGTGTCTTTTCAAGTTTCTCCACTTTATTAATCATGTGTTGTGAACCTCTTTGTGACTAAATGTGACATTAGTTGATTGATTAGTCTGTCTGACCAGTCCTTGCCTTTCTTCTGTTATAGGTTCGCCTAAGTGACTCTGACATGAAAACCCTGACCAGGGAGGAGTTGTGTACAAGGTATATAACAGTTCTGCAATTGGAGATTAATAATAATGTTTAGGGTAAACGTATTTGTCTTTAGCAGTTCATGTTTACACTTTTCTCCTCCTTTCAGGTGGAAACAGCACGAAGCCTATGTCCAGGTCCTGGAGGCAAAGTATGCAGAGCTATGTTGTAAGTACATCTGCATAGATGTAATTTTCTTGACAGCAATACACACTGTAACTATATTTGGCTGCTTGTGAAAGGAATATGCCTTCTAATGCATTTGCTTTTCTGCCTCTCTTCACTGCCTTAGCCAACGATGTGACAGGGCTGAAAGAGTCGGAGGAGAAGCTCAAGCAGCAGCAGCAGGAGTCTGCACGCAGGGAGAACATCTTGGTCATGCGACTTGCCACTAAGGAGCAGGAAATGCAAGAATGCACAGTATGTATCCATTCTTCCTCTTTCTGAACATTACAGATTATGATTATGGGGAGCTGTGGTTGTATTTGTTTCATAGGGCAAACACTTGATATAGTCCCTAAGTTCATGCTGAATTCTTCAGAGATGAGATGCTGGTTGAAGCACCCAGTATCTCCTGGAGTAAGACTGGATGACCTTTATTCTTGTGAATCAGTAATCACAAATGAATAATGCTGTGTACTCAGTCTTGTCTTAGAATGATCAACAACAAAAAACAACTAAGTATCCAGTATATAACAATATAAAACTGCAGGAGTCAAGTAACAGCTCATCATATATATATTGTACCTTTACTTGAACTAGCAGTCATGTGTCAGAATTGGAATTCTCAAATTTTCTTCCTGTTGACCAGTCTAATGATTGACATCATATCAGCCTTACATTATATTCCCCCTATATTCACTTATCATCGTGGTATGCAGGCTAAAGTGCTGGTGTTGCTTCTTGGCCTAAACACGTGATACAAATAAGTTTTTGGGGAAGTGCATGCACTTTTCTTAATGCAGGCTAAAGGTAGATTGTGTTGAGGAGGTTATTCTTTGCTCCTGACAGACTGACGGCTATAGTAGATCAGTCAGTGGCTTTATGGCAGCAGATGCCATTCTTTTAGGGTGGCTAAGATGAAAGCAACATCCCCTGCCAGGTCTGGGTTGGAAAAGTTTTTTGCTGGATGTGTCCAGGAAAACAACCCATATCTGACATTAACTTTTATTGTAGAATTAATTGATTTATGGCTTTGATGTAATATATTTTTTTTATTTAACTAATTATCCAACCAAGTATTTTATCTTGAAATGTTCATAATTTAAATAAAGGTGCAGTTATAGCTGATTTATATCCTTTGAAAATACAATAAAGATATTGCTTAAGTCCTCATCTTTAATAATCAGATGTGGGAAAATCCAGCTCTGTATTAGAGCAAGATGATGTACCCTCTTCAGATTATGGTGAAAAATGATAATACGGCTATCAGTGACTAGAGTCCAATGCAAGGATTTTCTTTACCTACTGCATCAGCACTTCTTCACTGGTAGAGATGCACTCCACTGCTCTTTACCGACCACTAACATCTGTTTGTTTTGTCTGCAGACTCAGATCCAGTACCTCAAGCAAGTCCAGCAGCCGAGTGCAGCCCAACTGCGGTCATCCATGGTGGACCCAGCCATCAACTTGTTTTTCCTCAAAATGAAGGCTGAACTGGAACAGACTAAAGACAAACTGGAGCAGGCCCAAAATGAACTGAGTGCCTGGAAATTTACACCTGATAGGTAAAGACAATCAAAATAACTTCCCCCCCCTTCAAAAAAAATAAAAGTCAAGACTTCCTCACGCCCCCACCCTCACTCTCACTGCAGGCATGCAGGAACAATGGTGGGGGGGAAGGCTGACAAATGCTGTACTCACCTCGAGACTCAGACTTTACAGAAAGCCAGTCACTGCAAAACAAAACTGTTTTTGTACTTTTGCACTGTGCCTGCTACATAGCGCATAACCTAAAGTGAAAAGACAGTATGGTCAGGTGACACTTGTGTTTCAGCTCTCTCCCCTCGTATTCCCTCACCGCCCAAGGGCCTGAAGGAGTCCGGACTGATCCTGAAGAGGTGATCGCTCACTTCCTGACATGGATATGCCCTCCCCGCCCCCTCAGCTCAAACCAGACAGCTCATATATTATATAGGGGGTTATGGAGGAGATTGAGTTAGGCAGGGAGCATCCCTAGCCTAACAGCAATTGAGCATTTTAAAGACAATTCCCACACTTGGTTTATAAAGACATTTAACTGTGGATTACACCACACACATACCTGCTAGTCTGCCTGAGAAACATAAAGGCTTTTTGGACAGTCTAGATACATTGCAGTAACATGAGGAAAGTTCTAGGATTTAAAATTAAGACTTTGTGGGGAGGAGCCACTAGAAATGATAAGACTGTGAGCAGAGCCGGATTCTCGGTCCACAAGGGGCTATGGTTCAGGCACGAGACTCCAATTGCCCATGTCTCTGAACATGGGCCTACTCACGGTAGAGTGTATTTACATGTTTTACGTTGTTACATGTTTCTTTTTTATTGGCATTTCATTTGATCTGACAAACACTTACTGCAGTGTGTGAAACAAGAAGCTCTGATTGTTTACACTGACATATTTGCACTTTAAATGACGGATTAAGCATTGCTTAATTCTTCTGATATGTTGAAACACACTGCTGTAGGTGCCACGAGTCCTGTTTTCAAGTTGTGAATGCAAATGTCTTTAACAAGTGATGTTATGAACTGATGAGAATGTATTTATTGTATTTATGTGTATTTTTGTGGTTGACCTCACAATCTCTCCCTCAGCCCCTTATAGCAGACTTTTCTTTATGGCCTGTGTGGCCACTAATTTCACAATAAGAATCCACTGTGGAATTTGTTATGATCTTTACCTGTATTTAAAAAAACAACTAATTTTTACTTTCACACCTGAGACAGTGGGATTTTTGCTGGCAGTGTATACACAGCCTGTTGAGTGAGAAAAGCACATTTCCTCTCAGCATCTTGGACAAATTAGTAGTTTATTGCTAAATGAGAATAAAATATTTAGTGCATACTTGCAATTCTTTTAGAGTAACATACATTGATTTTTTTTATTTGTCTAATACGCTACGTGGAAATAACCATCTCCAGTTTAATGACCTCTGCTTTGACATGGTACAGCTGCTGAATAATATGCCATTATTGTTAGTATTTAAGTGTCCTTCCACAGGCATATTTAGATAGCAGTTATTTATGGTTTAAAATAATTTGCATAAATCTCATTTGTGTGCAGTCACAATAATTCCTAATGTAAAATGAACAGGTGTGCTGGTGTTGAAGTATTTCTTGACCTGTTGTAAAGCTGAGAAAGCAAAACTTTTAGCAGTTTGATTTTACTGTTGAAACACCTGCTCCTGTGTATTTATGGTGATGAATACACAAAACTAGTGCCTGATTATGCAGTGCACATTTCCTTTTTGCTCGCAGGTAAAGATTGCTATTTAAATTTTAGGTTTTCTTGTAGTTTGTCATTCTAATATTACTGTTACATTTTGTTGCTCTGCTTGTTTTTCCACACTCAGCGATGTTGCAAGTGTGTTTGAATTTGAGAAATCAGTAGTAACAGAGTTGCTACTGTTATGTTTAGTGTTCAGTTTTCTTCAATATGCAACATGGTGAAGAAGTTACAGTATAACAGTGGGTGCCTTAGTTTCATAGAATAATGATGTAGGTTGCTTGTTTTGGGTTTAGCTGCTATAAGGGTCTTATGATTCTAATGATCTAAGTTAACTTTTCATTTTAGTTAGTCATTTTGTACTTGGGATCAATTGCAAGAAACCTTTGACATTTATTTGAATGAAGAGACTTGTGACTGTGGGTTGCTGATAACTATATTGTGCTGGAGTCTAATGGACAACGAAGATCCTGTTGTGACTAGAGTCATTTAGGGATGGGTGGGTTGGAGATCTTCTTTTGGTCCTAAGCAAATTGACATTGATGGGTCAGACCATTGGAACAGATCTCTGGCATCTTTTTGCTTGTTGCTTTTGTCTCCTGGTTCACTGTGTGATGTGAGACTTGTTTCCCTTACAGCCAAACGGGGAAGAAACTGATGGCCAAATGTCGAATGCTGATTCAGGAAAACCAGGAGCTGGGCAGGCAGCTGTCACAGGGTCGCATTGCCCAGCTGGAGGCGGAGTTGGCTCTGCAGAAGAAGTACAGTGAGGAGCTCAAGAGCAGTCAGGATGGTGAGAACATGAGCAGCATCTCAAAACTTGCATCACCATGTGATTGCTTCTTATGTACAACTTTTAACATGTCTTTATGATTTGATTTTTCACTGACCCCCACCACCCACAGAGTTGAATGACTTTATCATCCAGCTAGATGAGGAGGTAGAGGGGATGCAGAGCACTATCCTTGTCCTGCAGCAGCAGTTAAAAGAGACTCGCCAGCAGCTGTCTCAGACTCAGGGGGCTTTGGGTGGAGCAGGACCCAGCAGGACTTCACCCACTGCTTCCAATTCATCAGCTGAGCCATCCACCCAGCCTGAACAGGCCAGTGCACCCTCTGAACCAATGGGCAAAGACTACGGGAAGGTCTCCAATGGACCAAGCAATGGGAACTCATCCCAGAGGAGTGAAACCACCACACCCAGCCTGTACCGGGAGGTCAGCAGCACTGAGGAAGACTTTCCCATGTCCCCCATGGTCTCCAGTCCTGGTGAAGCTGAGACCAAACTGTCCAATCACTCAGAAGAAGCGTCGGGGAGTCAGACTGCTGTTGGAAGAGTTGGAGGACCTGTGGGATTCGGGAGCCAGCTGAGTACTGGGTATGAGAGCGTGGACTCTCCAACAGGCAGTGAGACATCATTGACTCAGCATTCGAATGACACGGACTCCACCGCCGACCCCCATGAGGACAAGACTGCCCTGGTGACCAAGGGCACCAGGACTGCAGGGTCACGGCACACTCAGAATGGCCTGGACTCCAGCACGAGTGATGGTGCAGTTTTGTAATGTGCTTTGATATGTACTGTCTTTTTTTAATTTTATTATTAATACAATAGTCAAGACAACAAATGCGTAGTCTGTAATACAGCACTGCTGTCCAAGGCATTTTGTTTTCATCCTTTTCCCGTTGCCTATGGTGATGATGCCTCTTTTCACATTTGTGAAATAACACATTCCTGTTATATCCCTAAACAGGGATATAACAGGAATGGGTTAACGTTAAATTTGAATTGTGTGGATGTATGATTTAAAACTAGTATGTTTCATTCTCTTGTGTAATTGAGCACATCTGTGATGTTCTTGTTTGAACTCTTGACACCTTGAAATCAGGCATCTGGTGTAACTCATCAAAAGTAAATAAAAATCACTGAATTATAGTAGCTTCACAATATATTCAAGGTCATTTTTTGATGTTGGCCTGTTTTGTTTTTTTTAAGACTTTAAACTTTTCATTCACAAAATTCTGTTCAAAAGGTTCTGTTAAATTGTGAGTAGTTTATATGTGATGTTCATATTACTCTGACTTGAGTCCATTTCATGTACTGACCAAATACCAATAAAGACTTTTAATACTACAAAGTAAAACCTGTTATTACTAGCCATCAGTACATTAATATGAAAAGAACATACAACCTGTTGACTTAGCTGAGTGGTAAATATAGGAGGGTGATAAATGAAAAACCAATAAAGGATATTAAGTCAAAGTGTTTGTACAGTAAGGAAAATGTTTTCCTGCACAATGAAATTCTTACTTTGCTGTCCACAATGAATGCTGAACAATATAAAGGTTTATTAGTAAGGTGTTGTGCCACTAGAACAGCTTTAGTGCATCTTGGCATTGACTCTACAAGTCTCTGAACTCTACTGGAAGGATGATCACCATTCCTCCAAACGATATTCCTTCATTTGGTGTTTTGATGATGGTGGTGGGGGTATGTGTCTAACATGTTGGTCCAAAATCTCCCATAAGTGTTCAACTGGGTTGAGATCTGATGACTGCAAAGGCCACATTACATGTTTCACATCACTTTCATAAACATCAAACCTTTTAGTGACCCCCTCATTGCCCTATGGATTGGGGTGCTGTCATCCTTGAAGAGACTATATCTATTTAAGCTTTTCTTTTAATTTGTCACTTGCCTCTATGTTTACATAAAAGTTATAATATAAACAAACATTATATAGAAGATACTATAAAAGAAACATCATTGTACAGTTACATGGCATGTTAAGTTGGAATCTTGTTTAGAATGTGCACAGAGCTTGAAATCAGCTCAATGCAAAGTGGCATTTTATAAATGAACACTTCTCCTCCTTAACACACGGTGGCACTGTGGTACATTTTCCCACCTATTACGGTTAGACATGCCTCATTCAGTGCAGAGTACAGCAGAGCAGTTAGTATCAACAAGGCACGGTAGTGTGTGGACACAACCGAAGCTACGACTCCATTAGCAATTAGCTGTCAGTCGACATGAACACCGAGCCTGTTGTCATCGTCTCTGCTGCACGGACACCAATTGGTAAAGTCAAATAAATACCCTGCACATTCATGAAAAACAGTTGGCAGCTCTACACTTCGCTGTTGCTACACTATAAGTCGTTGTTGAATGAAGTAGCTGTTCGAGAAAACATTACTCTCTGTAGCTGATACGCTTTTATTAAAATGCGTGTAGTCTGTACTGGTGAATATGTCGTTTTTAATTTGGCAAAATGGTTAATGTTCAGTTTTCAATTAGCCTAAATACATCGAGTGCTGCAAAGCTCTGATTGGTTCGCTTCTGTGTCAAGAGTATTTTATGGCTGGTGATTGGCTGGCTGGTCATAGCGCCACGGAGCAGGAGTCTCCTGCCATTGGCTGCCTTCAGCAAGTTCGGTGTGTCTGACGCAGATGCAACCTGTGTGTGTTTTCTCTCCAGGAAGTGATATGTTTAATTTGACTGACACAGTTCTCATACATCCATACACGGTTTTCTCGCTGACATCCCTAAATGATACTGAAAAATGGGAATTTATTATCACTTTATATTGTCAACGTTCAATTATAGTATGTGTGTATTACCTTTTTTTTAGTTTGCCAATTGTAACCACTAATTGAAATTTAGGACTTTGTCATTTACAGTCATGTAAAGCAAAAAATTGTGACAAATGTTGGATGGTCCTCAAAGAAAACAAATTTTAGCACTGAAATAATTAGTCAATCAATGGTTAATCAATGTCAGTCAATGGTGGTTAATCAATGAACATAAAAATATAATGCAACAATTTTGACAGTCAGCAATTGTTTAATCTGTCTAATAGCAAATGCTATCTGGTTCCAGCTTTTCAAAAGTGAAGATTAGATTTGTGTGTGTGTTTTATATTATTTTAAGTTTCTTAGAGCTGATTTACTGATTCTTTGAATGAAAGAAAATTAATCAGGAATGTTTTTTATAATAAATTGGTTATTTCAGTCATTTTTATGCACAAATGCCAAATATTTGCTGGTTCTTTTTCATGTAAGTATTTGCTGCTTGTTCTCATCACATATGACAGTAAATTAAATGTGTTTCTCTTTTAGACTGTTGGTAGAACAAAACTGAGCAGTTTACGGGCAAAGTTGTGATGGGCTTGATATCCTTTGCTGTTTTTACACAGGATCTTTGAACGGCGTTCTGTCCATGGTGCCTCTGCATGAGCTGTGCTCAGTGGTGATCGAGGATGTTCTGAAGCGTGCAGGAGTGAAGCCAGACGAGGTCTCTGAGGTTATCATGGGCCATGTTCTAACAGCGGGTAGATAATCGTGTACTTGTCTGTGGCAGAAGTCCCACATGTCGTTGGGCAATATCAGCCTGATCTGACTTCTTTCTAGCAATATTTAAAACTCACTTAACCTTCACAAATCTCTCATCACTGTGCACTATCTTTGTATTTCTGGTCAGGTCATGGGCAGAACCCGGCACGTCGGGCCAGTGTTCGGGCAGGAATCCCCTACACTGTTCCAGCCTGGGGCTGCCAGATGGTGTGCGGCTCAGGGTTGAAGGCTGTGTGTCTGGGAGCTCAGTCCATCCAGGCTGGAGAATCCACTGTGGTGGTGGCAGGGGGTATGGAGAGTATGAGCAGGGTAGGTTGAGACAACGGGTATCACGGAGGGATGTGAAATTGGAAGCAGATCAGATGAATAACAGATTATGTGGGTCCTTGCTTTAATAAGCTATTGAAAGGGTATGGAGGCTTAATTTTTTTTGTGTACCAAAAGTTCTTGAATGTCTGATCAAATATGCATATCTTTGTTTAGTCTTTATTTGATCAGATGGTACCTTTAAAAAAGTAGCTAATTTTACACTTATTTAGGAAAAGTTCATAAACATCTGTTTGTAATTATAACACATTTGAGAACTCTGGGTTTTTCTGTTAACTGAAAAACTGTGATTTTGTATTAAAACATTTCTCACAGTAACATAATGAAATTGTATGGTTATGGTATTGTTATCATGGCACAGGCATGTAATTAACCATGGTACTCAAACGTTCAAACAATATCCAGTCCTGGTTGTAAATGGCCTATTTCTCATGTAAGCACATACTGTGTAAACCCAGTACCATAATAGTTATGTCCATATTTTCCATCAGCCTATGGGTGAAAACATTATACATCCTTCATAATAACAATAAGTGTCTTTCTTTGTCCACTCAGACTCCTCACATAGTGCACATGAGAGCAGGGGTGAAGATGGGTGATGCCTCCCTGCAGGACTCCATGGTGGCTGACGGCCTGACAGATGCCTTCCACAGCTACCACATGGGCATTACAGGTCTCTGTCTAATTGACGTTTCCAGACAGTGGCCAGTGTTGCACATCCATCGACATCTCAGGCAGTATTGTTCTGATACATCTTTACGTATTTTATCAGCGGAGAATGTGGCAAAGCAGTGGGGTGTCAGTCGTGAGGAGCAGGACCAGTTTGCTGTCCAGTCCCAGAACAAAACAGAGACTGCGCAGAAAGCAGGGCATTTTGATCAAGAGATTGTTCCTGTCATGGTGCCATCCAGAAAAGGTAAGATGTATTCCAGGGATTGATTACCTAACCTGCTCTTTGGTGTGTATGCACTGTAACATTTTTTTTTTCCTCTTCAGGTCCGGTGGAGGTGAAGGTGGACGAGTTTCCTCGACACGGCAGCAACGTGGAGAGCTTGTCCAAACTCAGGCCCTGCTTCATAAAGGATAGCAGTGCCACCGTCACCGCAGGAAATGCCTCGGGTTTGTGCTTATGAACCATGGCATACACTGAGAAAGGCTGTCTGCCAGTGGACTTAATCTGATCTATCTAAAGTCATACTTAACACAAGGATATCTAAGCTGCTTTTATCTCTTTAATTAAGGTATAAATGATGGAGCAGCAGCAACTGTCTTAATGAGCCAGTCAGAGGCTGTGAGGCGTGGTGTTAAACCAATGGCCAGAATTGTATCATGGGCTCAAGTCGGTCTTGACCCGTCTATCATGGGAACTGGACCAATACTAGCCATCAGGAAAGCGGTGAGAAGTCAGCAGCAATAAAAGGTAACATGCATGAGAAAATGCTCATTTATGTTTTAATATTATTTTATTGTGTTTTACTATCTGATAGGTAGAGAAAGCAGGTTGGCAGTTGGACCAGGTCGACTTATTTGAGATTAATGAAGCATTTGCTGCCCAGTCTGTCGCTGTGGTCAGAGAGCTTGGTCTGAATTTGGACAAGGTAATTATCTTTTTTTTTTTTACCAACAGCCAAAAAACAAATGACTTTTTTTCCCATGTTGAAGCTAAAATTACGAGGGGATCATATTTGTTGCCTTAAGAGCTGCAGTAAAAAGCTTTTTGAGAGATGTACATTAATATCAGGAGCCATTTGTCATTTATCATCTAGTGAAAAGTTCTCTCTGTAACTAATTATGTATAGTAACACTGGTAATACCCTATCTCTTTATCCTTTTCTCCTCCTCAGGTGAATGTGAGTGGCGGTGCCATTTCTCTGGGTCATCCTCTGGGTATGTCTGGCTGCAGGGTGCTGGTGACCCTACTGCACGCTCTCCAGAGGACCAGAGGACAGAAGGGTGTAGCGTCCCTCTGCATTGGAGGAGGGATGGGCATCGCTATGTGTGTGGAGAGGGTTTGAGATATACCTAATGCTGCTTTACACATTAGACTAAAGTCTTTTTTTTATTTATGGATAAGGGATACTCATTGTTTACACTACAGGATACAGTATAAAAGGGTTTACCTGGGTTCTTCTGATCAGTGTACTTGTAGCAGAAGTGAATATACAGTATTTTGTGATTGTTAAATTAACACCATTCTTACTGTGAACTTCGCTTAATTTCAGCTTTTCTCAGGTTCCAGCTGCGTAGCTTCGACTTAGAGGATTTTAATTGAATAGTCAGTCTATTCGCATCACTCTTGGTGTGAAAAGACCTTACGAATGGATGTTTTCTTCTAAAATTAGCTGCTTTCAGCTAATTATGGAACTTAAAATGTACACTCACTGGCCACTGTAGTGGGTACACCTGTACAATTGGATGCAATTCAATGCAACATTTGTACCTTAACATCTGTGTTTATGAAGGTCAAAATGTTTGTTTTTGGTGAAGTTGTCAAATGTATAAATTCACTTGTTTATTATTGAGGTCATAGTTAAAAGGTGGTGGTGTACTGGACTACATTATATTCAGTGGTGTTCCTAATACTCTGATCCTCAGGCATGTAGCTGGGGAGGACAAAAATAATAGACACCTCTAAATATGTGGGCCAGTACAACACCATCTTTATCTATGACCTCAATAATAAAACATTTAATTGAATGTATACATTTGACAGTTTCACCAAAAACAAACTTTGAGCTTCATAAACAGATGTTAAGGCAGAAATGTTGTATTGAATTGCATATAGGTGTACCTAATATTTGACAGTTTCACCAAAAACAAACTTTGAGTTAAGCCTTCATTAGTTCCCAGAACAGACATGCTACTCTTTTTTTTGTAGCATAGTTTAACTTGTGATGCAACTTATTTGATAATTGTGGTAAACATTCAATAGATATACTTGCTGATACTGATCAACATTCCAATATCTTCCACTGTGGAATAAACATCAGCCTTGAAACACAGCTAAGTGCTAAACTATGCTAGCCTTCTCTCTAACCTAGTGCTTCCTGTATATAGCTATATATGTGATAGAACTTCCTGCAGTCTAGCTGTTTGACATATCAATAAAGAGTTTTAAGCCACAGAGTCAAGTAGGTCTTTGAAACCCAATAACCACATCTATCAACTGTCATTTACAACCACTGGAGTTTTATTAAGTGTCTCTCCCCCCCCAAAAAAACCACTTACAGTTCCTCTGGAAACAAGAGCCCCAAGGGAGCGGGTGAACAGTAAACGGGCAATGTGCACAGCCTATGCTAGAGCAACAGCCATGGAGAGCTCCTCATATATATACACACACACATATATATGTAAATACAGACGTTGAACCTATCGGAACCAATTGCAGCCTTTTAACTCTCCAGAGATCCAGATTCCACAGCATCCCTGTACGACTGCCCACCTTCTTTCTGTTCTGGGAACAGTCTGATGAGGTCGTCGATGCGGAGGATGGTGATGGCCGCCTCAGTAGCGAACTTGAGGCTCTTTGTCTTAACCATGGTGGGCTCGTACACACCGGCCTGACGGTTGTCTCTAGGCTTGCCATTCACCAGGTCAAGACCAATCCTACAGGACACAAAAAGTAGTCGAATAGTCTGTTCCACAAAACATTTACCTAGTGTAACTGAACAAGATAAAACTCCTCTTAGCAGTTAATGTAGCTCTCAGTGAGATAGGAATTTAACTTTAATAACCTTAAATCCTGCGTCTTTGCAAACAACTCAAGTCTGTACCACTTGTAGTAGATGTAAAGTGAAATTTGTGAATAAACATTTAAAGCCAAAAAAAAAACCCCACTCACCACTTGAGATTCTTGCGTTCGGGGTTAACTTGAGCCTCATTGTGGAATGCACGAAGCTTTGCTACCAGATCAGTGGAGTCTTGTGCTGCATTCACAGCCAGCGTTTTGGGGATCACAAGGAGAGACCGGGCAAATTCGGCAATAGCCAACTGCTCTCTGGAACCCTGAAAGCACAAAAGTGATGAGTAACTTCTAAGCACTGGTGAAACTGGGTTACAACTGAAACTATACTTGTGCCAAATCCTCTCTCTTTAATAAGTAATGCCCAATTCCACATACCCAAACAGATGCATCAGCTTCATAAAATATAACTCACCATGCTGGTAGCATAGTTCTCCAGGTAGATTGACAGGGCTGCCTCCACAGCGCCTCCTCCTGGCACTACCGACTTTGATTCCAGCACCCTCTTGACAACACAGAGTGCATCATGCAGTGAACGCTCCATCTCATCACACATGAAGTCGTTGGCCCCACGCAAAATGATGGAGGCTGACGTGCGTGCTTTGGTACTAACGACACAAAGTTGGGAGAATGCAGAAATGGCTCAGTTAACCCCCGTCACTCTGTGGACACTTGACATTTAGACAAAACATTAAGGACTTCACATTTAAGAGCTATAGATAAGGTGCACTCACTGGAATCTGCTGCACTGACCGAGCTAATTCCACATGCTTTTACATGTAATGTTACAAAAGCAAGACACTTGAATAGTTGCAGTTCTTACTTCTTGACCAGGATGAGTTCATCATCGCAGACGCGTTCCTGCACAACCTCCTCAGCCTGGCCGAGCATAGTGGCCTCGAACGTCTCCTCTCCTTCCAGATTGCTCAGTGAAGGACAGACGGTGGCTGAGAAGGGACAAACAACTACTGTGAAACTACTGACAGTAAGGGGTCCAAGTATCAAAATGAGAGCATGATCAAGACAGTTAAAAACTTGCAGACAGTATGAGGACAAATCATTTAAAAGCCTACCACCACACACTACACCATGCTCTCTTCTTACCTCCTGTTGCTTTAGCGATGCGTTTGAGGTCCTTCTTAAGAACTCTTCTCACTGCCATGGCTCCTACATCCACAAAGTACTTAAGACACATGTCATCAATGCCACCGGTGGTCAGGATAACATTAGCCCCAGATGCCAAAATCTTTTGGATCCTTTCTTTGGTGATATCAGATTCCCTGAAGCAACAAAATATTGTTTCAGTTTAACCACAGAGTTTCGTACAATACATATTAGAATGGCATTATCTTTGTCCAGCCCACAACACTGGCCCAATAGCCCTGAAGAGATGCTGCTGCCTTGACTTGTAGCTGCTTATGTTTTCTCCCACGCATAGCACTGGGTAAACTTGATTCATTATCACAGTAAATTTAAAAGGGATGATGCTTAAAGATTTATGGGACAAAGTCAGAAAGGATTATTCCATTATCTACCTTTGTCTGATCTGGTCAAGCTTCTCTGGGTCATTGATGATGACCTGGACTCCCATCTTCATCTTGGTCTTCTGCAGGCTGAAGTCCAGACAGGCAATCTTGGCATTAACGACACGCTTAACCATGCCTTTGGAAAAAACAAAACTTCATGTTAAACATGGAAAAGTAACAAATTCAATCGACAACATAAGGATAAATTAAAGAATCTAAATTACAAGTCATGTTTCCTTTTAGCTAGCATTTTGTTGTCTGGATAGAAAAGTGCTGCCACAGTTCACAAAGTACTGTGATACATTCCTTTCACAGCCATTGTACTGTCTCCCACGCGTATCACTGCATACACCATCATGAGACGTAGCAGCAAATTTAAATGGGAGTTTAATAAACTACTGTGATAATTTACAATATATTACACAATGTGGCTAAATCCTCATATCCATCACTGAAATGTAACAATTTCAGACTTTGACATACCTTGTGAACCAACTGTGCAGTTCAGTGCATATCCATTAACCAAGAAGCTCTCTTTCTGGCTACGGCCATGGGCTTTCAGCACGTTGACAGAATTGATGGGATATTTGGCCACCCCCTTGCCATCCACAAACTTCACAGCCATGGCAGCATCTACCACTATGTTAGCAAAAAAGTCTGCATCACTGAAGAGCCAGAGTCAAGGGCCATTAAACTGCCAGTAACAAATTATGTACATTTCCTGCAAGCTTGCAGATAGCCATTATCAAACTGAACAAATATAAAATCCAGTGACTCTGTGGGGTGAATCAAAAAGTATTTTTATTGAGCAAAAAGGATACCCTCCAATTATTTTGGAGGACATGGAGGTCTTAGCTGCATTGATTAAGCACTCTCTGCCCAGATCATCTGTCGCAATAGTGAGATTCTCATTAATGTATCGCACTGCCTCCCTTGAAGATGAGGAGAAAAAAAAAAGTCTGGATGTCAGAAAACCTAATCCAGTGTTACACAGAGACTATTAAGAGAGGTTCTCGATGTTAGCATCTTACTTGCATGCCAGACGATATCCACTGATGACAGATGTGGGGTGAATCTTCTGCTTCACCAATTCATCTGCACTTTTTAGAAACTCTGCAGCAAGAATTACCTGAAAGGATGTCACATGGCAAACTTTACAGGAAACAATATTACCAGTTTCCCCACACTAACAGTCACAAACTTACAGATTTTCATACAGATTTGTCTTTGTACCATCGTTTCATTAGGGGTGTCAGAAATAAGGCTGCACAACCCCTTCAGACACTGAAGGATAGTTTCTCTTTCCTGTTAGCATAGCCACACATCCGTAATATGAAGCAGATGCATGGTACTAGAACAGGACATGGCAATTCACCTTCTGAGTATTATGTGCAAGGTCAGAAATATTAAGTAAAATGTACAAAGCACACTTTATTTTTCCTGTGGGATCATAAACCATTAATAGCACTACATTCCTCAACTCTGACACTGTATTGAAGCAGCTGTTGCCATTACTCACCACAGAAGTGGTCCCATCTCCGACCTCCTTGTCCTGCAGGTCAGCCAGTTCACACAGGACCTTGGCAGCTGGATGCTCCACTTCTAGCAGCTTCAGGATGGTTGCTCCATCATTTGTGATGGTCACATCCTGTCAAAGCAGCAACACCACATCACTTAATTGTCTTCTTTCTCCCATAGTGTGTTCTCTCTCTGTGCCTTTCTGCAGGTATCCCTGGCTCTGGAGATGTACATTTCTGATAAACATTCACCAGCCGGATCAGCCTGCCCAGTGTTTGTTTGTTGCTTTTCTTTTCTCTCTCTCCTATATCTACACCCCAAACCATCAAGGCAGAAGGCTGCCCACCAAGAGCTGGGGTCTGTTGGAGGTTTCTTCTATTAAATGGAGTTACTCCTCCCCACAGTTGCCAACTGCTTGCACAAGGGGATTTGTTGGTTTTTTTTTCTCTATAATAATAGTAGTAAGGTCTAGCTCTTACTTTGTGTCCTGAAATGACTTTTGTTGTGATATACAAATAAAATTATATTTAATTGAATTCCACTGATGACCATCTAAGATTTTAATTTCTTGTCATATAGAAAGCGGCAGTTATTGCTGAATGTGATACTGACCCCAATGTCGTCCACCAGCATTTTGTCGAGGCCAACGGGTCCGAGGGAGCTCTTGACGATGTTGGCGATGGATGCAGCGGCCATGACTGTGAAGAAAAAAGGAAAGCTGCTACTAGCGGTACAATTTAAGAGAAGTGGTTCGCATTTTAACATGTATGAATAATCTTATAACAATAAGTCATCTCTGGCACTGAAATTACTCTGTCATTTATTAAGTGGGGCAGAGAATCGGATAGCCCCACCTTCAAACCATGACAGTTTTTTTCTATCATATTAGCATAACCGTCCATTCATCATGACGCAAATGAAAGGTACTAAGATTGGATTACAATAGTTCAGTGAAAACTGCTAACATTTGGTGCCCGTTATGCAGAAAACAGCAGATTTGGCTGCTTTGCAGGATTTCACCGGAGATGGAGAAGTGGCTTAAGGTTAATGTTAGCATTAGCCACACGTGTGTTACATGCAGTTAATGAATCCGTTTTCTTGTCGAGCATCAGAAACACACAAAGAAACCATTAGATGTACCCGACACATCACATGAAACAGCACCACAACTCACCATTTTGAGTGCGAACAGATTCACCAGTTGTTCTCTGGCCGAGCACATTTAACGGACCCTCTAATAGCGACATTTTGGACGACCGTACAACCTAGGAGAAGAAAGAAAGCCGCGCAGTGCACTGTGGGTAAACCGGCATTAACCAGAAGCTTCGAGAAGAAACGTTATCATCAAAAACTTGGACTACGAGATATGAACGCATTTAATTATGCAACAGATTTCAATGTAAAAAAAAATAATTAAATACGCTTCTCATTAACGTATCTTATCAAATGAGAAAAAAGTTTAGTCCTTTTATCTCCTATAAACGACATTTCCCAGCATGCCACTAAACCAATGCGATGGCCCTCCTTCTGTTTTTGAGGATATATGAACCCTCTGTAAACCCCTGCTGTCAATTTTATGTTCAACGCACTGATTTTATGATGGTGAAATTCAAGATATACAGCAGACAGAGCAATTGTTAATGCGCAAGTATTTATAAGACTACAAAATTTTGATTTTCCTTTTTCACTTTATAAGCGTTAATGTTTTTATCGTTTCCTTTCGTACAGTATTTTTTTCTGGTAATATTATGAAATAAATTGCATGATTACCTGTGTTTTATACACACCTGATTGAGGTAGTAGCTAGCCGAGACCATGCCATCTGGTGGAATGCAACACATCCACTCACGTAGGCTAATGTGCTAAAAGTACAAACTAGTTGGCCGACACTTTGTATGCGTGATGTATTTGTATGGATGCTGATTCAGCATCCATACTATGTTTTCCAATCATTTCTTTCTTTCTTTATTATTATTATTATTAATGCATGGATGCTGATTCAGCATCCATACTATGTTTTCCAATTATTTCTTTATTATTATTATTATTATTATTATTATTATTCCGT